GACCCCGTCCCGCCCCCGCCTCCAGGCGTCGAGACGAGTCCGGGAGCAGCACTTCCATCGCATTGTCAGCCGGGAATCCGGACCCTGTTCCCAGGCAAGGCCAGTGGAGCAAAGGCCGAACACCACGCCTAGAAAAGCGCTGCAAGGGCAGTCAGACCTAGAGGTGAGCTGGGGGAAGGCTTCAGTAGCTGGCTTCGTGGCACAATGGATAGCGCACTGGACTTCTAGCTGAACCAGGTGTGGTTATTCAAGGTTGTGCGTTTGAGTCATACCATAGTCGAGTTTTAATGGCTCCTCCCCCACGTGTGCCCAGGTCTTTTACAGCCTCCAGTACCTTCCTGAAGATGGGAACGCTTGCAGCTTTACACCTCTGCATCCTACTCTGCTCCAGAGACAGCAATGAAGTAGACCTCTGATCACTCTGGGCCCTGCAGCTAATCATCATTTAGCCTATAAACCTCTGGCCTTATTTGTCACACCACCTGCTGAGCCGGAGGCAGTCAGCTGAATTCCCAGCCCTGCAGGGTTCTGGGCTTCTCCACACTTGGTTTCTTGATAACCAAACATGTTGGGCATGTACAGTTGTTGTCTTGTCCTTAAATAGATCTCTTAATCTCTTAGTCCCTAGAGATCCTTAAAAGGGGGGAGAGGAGTTTTTTAGGGTCTATATATAGAGTTTAGAGATGACATTTTGGTCCAATAAGGGCTTGACCCTATTTTGTCATCTTTCTCTTTAGTTTGCTATAGGGCCAGAGAGAGAGGCAAAGTGAGAAATCACTCCCCCATACTCCAGGGGGGATTGTCAAATCCAGTCCCTTCTCCATTCTCCTCCCAGGATTTTTGGGCACACACATGTGCCCAACCACCAGGCCTAGGACTCAAACTATACAGCCAGCCATGTGGGATCCAGCTGCCTTAACCTCCATACCATCTGCTGGCCCACATCTGGTCCTATTTCTAAAGGCCATGAAGGGACTTCAAAAAATTTGACAAAAATGAGGAACCAGCAGTTAGCGTAATGGCTATGTCGCTGGACTCCCACGTAGTCGACTGCGGTTTGCCTCCCGGACCCAGGGGCTTAAACTCACGCCGGGCGCATGTGCGTGCGTGCCCGAGATCCTGAGAGGAGAATGGAGAAGGGATTGCGGTGTGACCATCCCCCCAGGGGGTGATTTCTCGCTTTCTGTCTCTATGTCTCTGTCTGTCTGGCAAGCGCACGTGCCCTATAGCGAAAACCTTTCCAAAAAAAATTTGTTTTGACAAAAAATGAAGTAAAAGGACAAGTTTATTTTGGTGCAAAAAATTTTGAAATTCCAGACAACAGTGGCACAGGGGTAAAATACGATGTGCTCTTTGTAAGGCAGTCCCACATGGGACTGGGTCCAAGTCCAAAGACCTCCCTGAGTATGCCGGGCACACACATGCCATGATCTGGGGGCTGGCTGAAGGCTGGGGTGGGTTGTGGCATCAAGACTCTGCTTTGAGTGCTGTCTCTGTCTCGCTCATAGAAGAAATAACTTTAAAAAAAGGCAGGGACTCACTCGTCCTGTCGCTTGTGGGATAGGCTTAGCTTAGGCTGACCTCAGAGGGGTCTCCTTCCCACTGACATGCCCCCATCTGAACTACATTAGGGAACTTACTGAAGGAAGTTTCAGTGCTAAAATTCCCAGACATGTCACTCACCAGCAATGGCACTCACTTGGAAGTGTTCAGGACCCCCAGGGGAGTGTAGCAGTTGGCCCTGGCACACAGGAGCTACTTACCCACGAGACATGCCTTAGGACCTGTGAGCCATAGCAGTGCAAATCATACCCCTGGTTTGGCTTATACATGGTGACTTCAGAGGCCTTGAAGAGCCTTCCTGAAAAACGACTGCTTCCATTTCCAAAGTGCTTACGGTATGATGTTTTAGTAAACTCCAACCAGTCCTCCCCCCTTTTCTAAAAAAAAAGGTTTTTGCCATAGAGTGCATGTGCTTGCTAGAGACAGAGAGGAAGTGAGAAATCGCCCCCCGGGGGTGGGGGGATGGCCACTCAGCAATCCCTTCTCCTCCATTCTCTTCCTGGGATTCTGGGCATGTACACACATGCGCCAGACATGATTTTCAAGCTACCGGGTCTGGGACTCAAACCACAGTCGGCCATGTGGGAGCCCAGTGCCTTAACCACCACAGCACCCTAGCAATCCTGATTTTACAGAGCCTCACAATGGCCCTGCTGTGGGGCAGGTCTGGTATGCTCTCCATTTTGGGAGGTGAGAAAGCAGGCTTCCGGGGAGACGTGAGTGCTGCAAGGGTGCATGGCTGGGCCCCGGCTGGGCCCCGGCTGGGCCCCAGCAGGGCCAGGGCCTGGCTGCCGTTTGGGCCCATATCTGACGTGTTTAAGAAGCAGGATGCAGGCGAGCAGCTTTACTACAGTGGCAGTGGGTTTCCACGCAGAATGTGGTAGGGCCTCACAGGCTGTGGTAAGAAGCCATGAGCTGACAGCACAAATGCCACCTATGGTCTGGAGACCAGATCATCCCCAGCTAATGCCCAGTGCCCATCTCAGTAGTGTTGTAAAGGCCCACGAATGTCCAGGTACCAACTGGCTGGAGCAGGTGACCTACCCAGCGAGGCAGAGGCTGAGTCTAACCTCCTCCCCACCTTGGCACTATTTTCCTGCGCTGTGGAGGGTTCCTGGGACCTGTGGCCACAGCTGATACATCCGGAAAGGTAGCTGAGACTAAGATTGCTAAGTATGGAGAACTCACCCCAGCCCCTCCTTTTTCTGTACAGAGTCAAGCTCAGGACAAGGTTTACCTCTTGAAAAGCTGGTGATTCTGTGGGCCACCAGCTGCTCATGCCTTCTTCCCTCTGCCACCGGGAGCCCTGAACTGGTTGTGGTGGGCACAGAGTCCTGGCATGGTGGGAATGGGCAAGTGCTTATATGGCCCTCTGGGCAAGTCTTCAGACAATCCCTGGTTTTGCCCAGTTCTGCCCTTGCTGCCCTGTCAGTAACACACAGAGCGCCATCTCACTCCTTGGGCAGTAGCCGGAGGTCGGGGGATACTGCATCTCCAATGCTTGGCACCGCCTGACACTAGTACCACTGCAAGTATGCTTGCTGTATTATTACGGATGGGGAGACAGGCATAGAGAAACCAGCCTGGGTCCTGCTACTCCAGGCAACTCCTCACCTACTCTGGGTCACAGTTGCCCTATCCACACACTGAATTGGCCCCAAGGACCTCTACATGCTCTGCCATTTTGGGAGTTTCTGGTTCTAAGACCCAAGACACAGCCACCCTTCTAATGATACATCTCACCATGCCTGTCCCCACTCCTTGGCCCGACCCAAGGACGACGCCCTTGTACCAGTCCAAAATGGACTGGAGCCACACCTTCCTCCTGGATGTGAACACGGTAAGAACAAGGCCCTGCTTCTCGGGCCCTTTCTCTGCAGCCCTTCTGAGCTTCGCTTCAGAAACCCCAGAACCCCTAGGACATAGGGGCTGTTACTATGCTTTTACTCACGGTGAAACACGGACTCAGAAAGGGGAAGAGACTTGTCCTAAGGCCTCTGCTAGAAAGCAGCAGAGGAGCTGGGAATTTGGGTCCTGGTCTGCCTGACTTCAGATGGGGGAGGGAACAAGAAGTTGCAGCTCAGGGTGGGGGCTTTCTGCCTCTGGTGCCAGAAGACCTCAGGCTGCAGAACTGTGGGCAGCACGGGTTGAGAGACCACAAGTGGATACTTGGCCTGATGGAGCCTTTATTCAGACAGCAGACCCGCTCCTCCCTCCCCTCCCTCTTCTTAGGCCTTTGCAGCTGGGCAAGCCCTCATTCCTGAGCATACCCAGCTTGGCCCCAGAAGACCCTGGCTGGCAGCAGGCATCCGGAGCAGGTGCTGTAGACCCAGGACATCCCTGTTTACATGTGGCTTTCTCTGGGCAGCTCCTGGCTCCCCAGGAGCCCCAGTGCTCCCTGCTCCCCTGGGTTGGTCCTCAAGGCCAGTCAGTAGTGGTTATGACAGCAATGACAAATGATGTCCAAAGGTCAGTGTTTACAGAGAAGGAACAAAGGTTGGGGCAAAGGACCCCTCTGCCCTGAGGGAAGCAGGTGCGAGGGGGCAGGCCCAGCCCCCCCAGGCTGGGCAGCTGGGGGGGCGGCTAGGCCAGGCCCTGGATGTGCTCTGGGGGTGCCGTGATGCCCAGCTCCTCCCGCAGAGCCTGCAGGGGCTGCTCCCAGCGCCGCTCGTAGTAGAGGTTGAGGACACATGGGGCTCTGCGCCCGTTCTCGACTGCCCAGGGGATCAGCTCGGAGATCAGCACGTGCAGGTTCCTGGGGGGGGAGGGCAGCAGGGAGAGGACATCAGGCCCCCGAGGGCCAGGCGGTGCATGTGCCCAGCTCGGAGGAGCATTTTCCCAATCAGTCCTCACACAGAGCTGAGGAGGAGTGCTTACTAGTCTTTACAGGGAAGGACACGGGAGCTCCATGATGGGACTTGCTGCCCAGCCGCACACCCTGAACATGCCATCACCTGGACTGACGTCGGGGACCCCAACTCCAGAACTATCACTGCCTGCCTTCCCCTGACCCCATCCTTCTGACCTGGCAGCAAGGCCTGGTCCAGGACACCCCGGGGCCTAGCTCTGTTCCCTGCCCTGGAGTTCCCTGCCCTAGGTCGGTTCACTTCTTTGCCTCATTCTCTTTCTATCTTTGCCTCCTGGAAAACCATTGGGGCTGCTCAGGGGCCTGTATGCTCTTCCCGTTTCCTGGCGCCCTGTCCCCTCTGAGTCCTCCCGTCCCCAAACCAGATCCGCACCACCTCTTAAAAACTTACTGAGCCTTGAGTCGGAGGGGTCCAAAGAGTGCACCCAGGATGCACATGGGCAGGCCGGTCTGGACAGCCTCGAACCATTTCACCACGATTTCCCCTGGGGGTGAGGAGTGATGTGGAGCTGAACAGGTGCTGTGCCGTTCACAGGAGGAGAGAGGTGTCTCTCCTCTCTAATCTCTACCAGGGGTCAGCTGAGCCCAGCCACATGTGCTAGACCCTGGGGGCACTTAGCTTTGATGGAGGAAAGGGTCTGAGAATAAGCAAAAAGAAACAGGGTTGGAGAGGAAGCTTGCTGTCAGCCTGCAGAGGACCCCAAAGGCAGGCCGAGGAGTCCGGGGTGGTTCTTCCATGCCTTGGGGGGTGGTTCAGGGTTTCAAAGCCGGAAGACAGCTACAGACCAGGAAGGGGCAGGAAGTCCCGGTGTTTGGACACTGCTACATCAGGGTAGGAGCCATGGTGGGGCAGTGGGGATGGAGAAGAGGGGGTGTGAGGCAAGGACGCTGCCAAGATGTCTGGATAAAGCAGAACATGAGGCGCTGACAGCTGATGGGTGGGTGGTAGAGGCAGCTGTGCCCTGCCCTGGCCCTGCAGGCAGACTGGGATGGAGGCTGGCTGGGGCACTCACCCAGTATGTTGGTGGGCATCCCCAGCAGGGTGTGGAACATATCATGCACCTCCCGGTAGCGCTGGATCACATAGGCGAGCTCCTCATCATCCACGAAGCGGGTGGGAGCTCGGGTGTCTGGGGAGACGCCCTGACAACATGAGCTTCCCTTAGACCCCTTCCTGGCAGTTCCCAGGTCCCAATTTGCCAGCCTCTCCTGGACTCTGTCCAACTCATCCTCAATCAGAAAACCCTGTCCATGCTGCAAGAGGACAGGCCTCGCTCGGGTGGGGACGGGGTGGGATTAGACACCCCCAGCATACCCCAGCTCACCCATTTGTAGTCTGCTGGAATCGATGCCAAAGCCCCTAGTGGGGTGGGACAATGGGAGTTGCTTAATGGGTATAGAGTTTCAGTTGCAAGATGAAAAACTTCTGGAGAATGGCTATACAATAATATCAGTCTACTTCACACAACTATACACCTGAAATGGTTACAATGGTAAATTTCATGTTACACATTTTTTTAACTATCAAAAACAGAAAAAGAAGCCCCAAGACCCCTGATCTTTAGAATGAGCTACTCCTGGCCTGGAGTGCTGTCTCTCACCCTGACAATGCCTACTGATTGTTCACAATCTGGTTAAGGAGCCTCTCTGCCACCAGGGAGAGGGTCTCTGCCTCCCTGACCTTCAGACAGATCAGGTCTCTGTCCTGGCCTCCTGCAACATCGTGAACTTCTGTGTGGCATGCACAATGATCACACTTAAAAAAAAAAAAAGATTTATTTACTTTTATTTATTGTTATTATTATTTAATTTGTTATAGGGCATGTACACTCACCAAAGACAGACAGACAGACAGAAAGTGAGAAAACAAGTCGTGAGACCCGGGACTTGAACCGTAGTTGGCCATATGGGAGTCCAGCACCTCAACCACCATGCCACCTTCAGTTCCAGATTCTTTTTTTTCCTTGAATCCTTTTTTTCTTTTTTTTTTGGAGAGGTTTTTGCTATAGGGCATGTGTGCTGGCCAAAAAGACAGAGAAAGAGAGAGACAGAAAGCGAGAAATCACCCCCGGAGCGGGGGTGGGGTGTGTGGCCATGCTGCAATCCCTTCTCCTCCATTCTCTCAGGATCTTGGGCACGCACTCACACGCGCTTGGCATGAGTTTAAGCCACTGGGTCTGGGACTCGAACCGTGGTCGACTACATGGGAGTCCAGCGACATAGCCATTATGCTAACTGCTGGTCCCCTGAATCCTTTTTTAAAAAAAATTATTTTATTTGGGACCAGCAGTTAGCATAATGGCTATGTCGCTGGACTCCCCTGTAGCCGACCGTGGTTCTAGTCGCGGACCCAGTGGCTTAAACTCACACCAGGTGCATGTGCATGCTTGCCCAAGATACCAAGAGGAGAACGGAGGAGAAAGGATTGTGGAGTGGCCATACCCGCAGGGACTGATTTGTCACTTTCTGTCTTTCTGTCTCTTTCTCTGTCTCTCTGGTGAGTGCATGCACCCTAAAGTGAGAAAGCAGGCCGCCAGAGAAGCTGGCAAGTAGCATAGTGGTTAAGGTGCTAGATTTCCATATGGCTGACCATGGTTTGAGTACTGGATCTGGAGGCTTGCTTTCTCACTCTCCTCCTTTCTCTTTTTCTCTCTCTAGTCAAACTGAAGAAGAATAAATTAAATTAAATAATTGTTTAAAAAAAAAATAAGGAAAGGAAAGGAGAGAAAAAAGAAAGCAAGCCACCAGGTCCAGGACTAGGACCATGGTCAGCCATGTGGGAGTCCAGCGCCTTTAACCACCATGACACCTGCCGGCCCTCTTTTTTTTTAATTGCCAGAGGGCATGTGCTTCTGCCAGAGCACAAGGGCAATGGAGAAAGCACCTGCCAGTGAGCAGTCACATCGCAGCTCCTTCTCCATTTCCCAGCCCTGCTGTGATTCTGGCCACGCAGGCACACGTGCTCACACTTGGCATGTTGCTCAAGCCGACAGACTGAAATCTGAACTGTGCGGACGGTCACGTGACAACTGGTTCCCTTAACCACTATGCCATAGGCTGGCCCAAAATGTGGCACGTTCTGAGATGTGCTGTATGTCCAAAATACATACCACATTTTAAAGGCTTAGTATGAAAAAAGTGAAATCTTGAGGACCAGCAGGTGGCGTGGTGGTTAAGGCGCTGGACACTCCCACATGGCCGACTGTGGTTCGAATACTGGACCTGGTGGCTTGCTTTCTCACTTTCCCTCTTTCACTTTGTGTATCTCTCTCTGGTCAAATTAAAATAAATGAGTGAATAAATAAAATTAAAAAAAAAAAAAAGTGAAATCTTGGGCCCGGCAGATGGAGTCATGGTTACGTTGCTGGACTTCCACATGGTAGATCATGGTTCAAGACCCAGGCCTGGCATGAAACTCGCCAGGTGCATGTGCATGTATGCCCAAAATCCTGAGAGGAGACTGGAGGAGACAGGATGTGGTGTGGCTATCTGCTGTGGAGGGTGATTTCTTGTTTTCCGTGTCTCTGTCTCTCCGGCAAGCACACATGCCCTATAGCAAAAATCTTTCGTTAAAAAAATAAAGAAGTGGGGGGCCAACAGGTGGCATGGTGGTTAAGGGTGCTGGACTCCCACATGGCTGACTGTGGTTCGAGTCCTAGACCTGGCAGCTTGCTTTTTCACTTTCCCTCTCTTTTTCTCACTCTGTCCCTCTCTGGTCTAGTTAAACTAAATAAATAATGAATAAATAAAATAAAGTTAAATAAAACAATTCTTTAAAAAATAAAAGGGACCAGCAGTTGGCGTAGTGGCTATGTTGCTGGACTCCTATATAGTTGACTATGGTTTGAGTCCTGGACTCATGCCTGGTGTGTATGTGAGCATGCCCAAGATTCCAAGAGGAGTTCCGGGACAGCCCATGGCCTAGTGGTTAAGGGAGCTGGATCCCATATGGCTGACCACATAGCTTGAAAAACTGGTGGCATGAAAAAAACTCCAGGTGAGTGTGTATGTGTGAGTGTGTGTGTGTGTGTGTGTGTGAGAAAGACCAACATCCCGAAAGGGGGTTGAAATGAAAGCAAAGGGATTGCAGCATGACCACACTCATTGTGGGATGCTTTCTCCCTCTCTCTCTCTCTCTTTACAAGTGCATGCACCCTCTGGAAGTTAATTAATTAATTAATTAAGTTAAAATTGGTTTCACCTGTTTCTTTTTGCCTCTATTAAAGTTGCCTGGAGAGGGACCAGGAGGCGGCATAGAGGTTGGGGTGCTAGATCCCACCCAGCCAGCTCTGCAGTTCAAGTCCCAGACCCAGCACCATGAGAGTTATACCAGGCATGTGTGCATGTGTGCCCAAAGTCCCGATAGGAGAGTGGAGAAGGGACTGCAGCATGGCCATCCCCCTAGCGGATGGTTTCTCACTTTCTCTCTCTCTTCTTTCTTCTCTATAGAGCGCATGCAACCTATGGCAAAAAATTTAATTTAATTAAAAAAAAAGGTGGCTTATACAAAACTCCCATGTTCAGTATAGCAACAGCCTGTTGGCTACGCCAGGGCGGAGTTGGCTGTTTCGCTCATGGGTGCATCTCCAGTGCCAGATGATACTCTTGAAAAGGTGAGTAAAAGGCCTGACCTGGGCAGTTTTCTCTTTTTTTTTTGGAGAGGTTTTCGCTATAGGGCGTGTGTGCTCGCCAGACAGAGACATAGAGACAGAAAGCGAGAAATCACCCCCCAGGGGGAATGGTCACGCCGCAATCCCTTCTCCTCCATTCTCCTCTCAGGATCTTGGGCACGCATGCACACACGCCCGGCGTGAGTTTTAAGCCACCGGGTCCAGGACGCGAACCACGGTCGACTACGTGGGAGTCCAGCGACATAGCCATTACGCTAACTGCTGGTTCCCATGGGCAGTTTTCTGACCCCAGGTAAGGATGTCAACAATCCTTTTAGCCACCTAATGCCTCTCTGAGGCTTCCTCCGCCCCCATAAAGTGGTAACGACCAGACCTTCCTGTTCCCAAAGCCTGGCCTCAGGCTGTCCAGAGGCTAAGGGATCTGACCTCTTCATTGCTTTGGGGCTGCTGGCTCAGTGCCACGACTAGCCCGTGTCTGCAGCCTCAACAGGTGCCAGTGTCCTCTGCAGTTTCTACTTCCTGTGTGAAACTGAACGTGATTGTAATAACAGTCATTACTTTTCTTTTTTCATCTTTTAAAAAAAAATGTATTAACTTTATTTATTATTATTATTTTCTAGTTTTGATCAGAGAGAGACAGAGAGATACGGAAAGTGAGAAAGCAAGCCACCAGGTCCGGGACTCAAACCTCAGTCAGCCATATGGGAGTCCAACATCTTTTTTTCTTTTGGACAGGTTTTTGCTATAGGGCGCGTGTGCTCACCAGAGAGAGAGAGAGACATAGAGACAGAAAGCGAGAAATCACCCCCCAGGGGGGATGGTCACAATGCAATCCCTTCTCCTCCATTCTCCTCCCGGGATCTTGGGCACATACGCACACGTGCCCAGCGTGAGTTTTAAGCCACCAGGTCCGGGACTCGAGCCGCAGTTGACTACGTGGGAGTCCAGCAACATAGCCATTACGCTAACTGCTGGTCCCGGGAGTCCAACATCTTTAACCACCACATCAACTGCCAGCCCCAATAGTAGTTACTTTTATTGAGTAACTACTCTGTGCCAATACATGTCCTTTATATGTTTCATCCTCACAACAAACTGCAAGATGCTCTTATTAGTCTCAGATATAAATAAGAAAAACCTGGCTCAGAGAGAGAAAGAAACTTGCCTAAGATCACAGAGCTGATCAAATGGCTGAGTTAGGACCAGGGGCAAAGTCTGCTGCATTCCTAAGCCGGTGGCCTGAACATTCATTCTGTTAAGATATGTGGTAGGTCCCCGTCCTAGTCCTACCGCGAGGAATCAGACTCCGAGGCCAACCAGGCTCGTAAAGCTGGGAGGAGGCAGGATTTAACTCCAGAGCCCATGCCTGGCACCTTGTACCTTCAGGGAGGGTGACCTCACCTTGAACTTTTATCTAAATCTGTTAAGACAAAGGTGCTCCTCATTCTGTGGGCTGCTGATCTTGCTCCAGGCATGTCACAATCTCCAGGCTATCACCACAACTGGGGCTAGGGCTGGGCGAGGAGCCCAGGGCGAGCTGGCAGTCCCATCCCTGCTGCCTCCTCTCCACAGCAATAGGACAAAAGGTGCTGGAGAACATCAGCAGGCTGTCCCTCCTGGGTGGCACTCGGTGGCACCCTGGCAGGTTTCCACTGATGAAATGACCTGCATCCTGGTGCAATCTGAGCGCGATGGTATACAGTGAGGCAGGGACTGCCCTGCTGAGCAAGTCAGGAGGGTGTGAGGGACAGTGTGTCATCTCAGGAACAACAGCCTACTAGACCACCAGGGACAGCTGCAGTATCTGAAGATATTCTGGTTGACACAACCTGAGGGGGAAGGGGTTGCTACTGGCACCAGGGGGTAGAGGCAGGGATGTGGCTGAACATCCCACAGTGCATAGAATAGTCCTTCACAGGGACCATCGGCCCCAAAACCAGTAGTGCCGAGGCTGGGATAACCTGTTCTAGAGAAATCGTCAGTTGTTCCTTCACCTCCTCCAGCCCGCCGGCTCCTGCAGCTAAACTAGAGAACCACTTGGCAGAAGTGCTTTGACTAGACACGTGTTGGAGGGAAAGGGGCTGGAGTAGGGGCAGGGAGAGGGGGCCGGCTATAACCTACAGTGTTCCCTTACTATCCTGCTGCAAACCTTCCAATGGCTTCTTACTTCCACGAAACACAGAGTCCTTCCTGTGGCCTGCAAGGTCTAGCCCAGCTGGTCTCCCAGCCCACTTGCTATGTCTCCCCACTCACTCCTCCACTTCCCTTTTCTTACACAGAGCTTCTGCACTTGCTTTCCCGCTGCTCAGAGTGCTCTTCCAGCTCTCCACAGCGCTGCTTCCTCCTCCATCTGTGTCTCCAGGGGCCTCCTTGACCACCCTAACAGAAGGGGCTGTACCCTCCTGCATTTACCCACAGCAATGTGAGCTTTACAAAGGTAGGCCCTTTGCTTGCTCTGTTCACTGTATCCCAGCTGCTGAGAACAGTGCCTGGTACATTCTGAGAGCTCAGTAAATACCTTACCTAGAGACTGCACGGGGCCTGCAGTAAAGTACAATGTTCTGTGAAGCTGGCCCATTTGGGAAGGTTCCAGGTTCAGATTCATGTCTGGAGACCTCTCTGACCACACTGGGCACCCTTGTGCTCATGAACTAGGGTTGGCTAAAGCTGGGGTTGGACCGCAGTATCAATACCTATGAAGGGGGGCAGCAGGTGGTGTGGTTAAAGTGCTGGATTCCCACATGGGTGACTCTCCAACCTGGCAGCTTGCTTTCTCACTTTTTCCTTCTGTCTCTGGTGAGCACACATGCCCTATAGCAAATTAAATAATAAGTTTTTTAAATTAAAAGAATAATAAAAGACCCTATTAGGAGTGTTAGTTCTCTCTCACTCATGGAAAATAAAAAAATTTTAGAGGTTTTTGCCATAAGGTGCATGCACTTGCTGTCGAGAAAGAGAGACAGAGATAGAGACAGAAAGCGAGAAATCACCCTCTGGGGAGATGGCCACATCACAATCCCTCCTCCTCCACTTTCCTCCTGGGATCTTGGGTAAGCACATACATGTGCCTTGTACGAGTTTCAAGCCACCAGGACTGGGACTCAAACCGTGGTCGGCCATGTGGGAGTCCAGTGACATTAACTGCTACACCATCAGCCGGCCCCCACCCGTGGAAAAATAAAATAAGTAAACTTTTTTGCCATAGAGTGCATGCACTTTCTAGAGAGAGACAGAGGGGGAAAGTGAGAAATCGCCCCCTATGATGGCTTCACCGTAATCCCTTCTCCTCCATTCTCCCTTTGGTATTTTGGACAAACATGCACACAGGCCCAGTGTGATTTTCAGGTTCCCAGGTCCAGGACTCAAACAGCAGAATCCACCATGTGGGAGTCCAGTGCCTTAACTACCACACCACCTGCTGGTCCCTTTTCCTAAATTTTTATATGAAAAGTTTTTACTACTTTATTGTCTGCCTCTCCAATCAGAATATAAGCTCCGTGAGGGCAGGGTCCTTGGCTGTGTTGTCAGCATTATTTCTCCAGCACATGGACTAATACAGAGCAGATACCAAGTAAGTCAATGAGCTCTTGGGTAGTTGGGAGGGCTAGTCTCTGCCACTGCCCCTGTCCTCCCTGCCTGGGGCTGGAGAGTCACACCTGTACCCTAAAGAAGGCAATGTCCCTAGAAAAGGGGGTCATAATGTGGCAGTTAAGAACATGATGCGGGTTGAAGACTGACTCCATTAATACTGGCTGTGTGAAATTAACAAGCTGACTAACTGTTCCGAGCCTCCGCTTCCTCAGATATTAAGAATATAATACATTGTGGAGAGCAGCCAATCTGCAAACATGTGATTAAAACATGCGGCCTGTAGACACATGCAGAAATGCGCTTCTGTAAGCTGCTCTAGCAGGGCTATGGAAGCATCTACATAGGAAAGCAGGACCTGCCTGTTGCCAGTGGCTGTCTTCCTGTTGTTGTTGATGCCCAATGCCCCCATACTGCCCAGTATTGAGCTAAAGGAAGTCACGTGCGTTTATCAAATTGTCCCCCCAAAAAGGCCAGAGAAATTATACGGCGCCAGTCATTTTCACATCTTCAAACAATTTACATCCAAAAACAACTGGCTTTACATTCCAATTTCTCCTCCCTGATTCTCTGCATTCCACTTCCTTCTTCCCCATTCCTTTTGCATCCCATTTTCCCCTTTCCTCATTTTCTGCCCTTTAAAAGAATAAACATGAGGCTGGTTCTGGTTGCAACTTCTCCATCAGAGAAGCTGTGTCCACCCAATCCTCACTTTTCTATACTTGTGTCTTTTTTTTTTTTAACGAATTATTTAGTTAATTTCATTTATTTATTCATTTATTTTAATTTGGCACGCGCGCGCGCGAGAGAGAAAGTGAGAAAGTAAGCCGCCAGGTTCGAGACTCAAACCGTGGTCGGCCATGTGGGAATGTCCAGCGCCTTAACCACCACACCACCTGCTGGTCCCCACTTGTGTGTCTTTGTATATTTATTACTGCATCTATTTCTAATCCACAGCCTTCCCCACTCAAAAAAACGTGTTCATGCCGAACTAGTCCCCGCAATACATGGGACCGGCAATTGGTGTAATGGATACATTGCTGGACTCCTCCCATGTGGTTGACCACGATTCGAGTCTCGGACCCGGTGGCTTAAAACTCACGCCGGTCGCGTGTACGTGCGTGCCCAAGATCCCGAGAGGTGTGTGAGGAGAAGGGATTGCAGCATAGCCATCCCCCCTGGGGGTGATTTCTTACTTTCTGTCTCTCCGTCTTTCTCTGTCTTTCTGGCGAGCGAGCGCACATGCCCTATAGCAAAAACCTCTTAAAAACAAAACAAACAAACAAAATAAACAATATACTAGACAGGGTTGTTGGGAGGACTCAGCAAGATCACACATGGGCCTGGCATGCAGTAAGAAGCTAATAACCCCCTTGTCAGTGTTATCACCACTTGAGGTGAAGTTTACAACCCTTTGCCTGTACCAGACAATGACAAAGCCTTGACACCAGACTGGAAAGTCAGGGCCTCTCCTTCCTCACGATGTCACTCTCATTCTCCTGCCTTTCCTGCCAAAATGCCCAGAAGCTGGAGACTTACATTCACATCCAGGAAACGGAGATACTCGCGACCGAGGGAGCCTTCAGGCAAACTCTGGAGCTTGCCTAGGTCGAGAGTGGACAGTGAGATCCGGGGTCGCTCTCTGAAAGGCAGAAGGCAAGACTTGGATACTGGAAGGCAGGTGAAGGGTCAAATCAGAGCAAGCTTGGGGGCGGGCACACAGAGCAGTGACATGGTCACAGGCCCTATCGCAGCACCTCTGAACTCTGGCCCAGTGGTGTCAGAACCTGTGCAGCCACAGCAAAGGGCATGCTTCCTGTCTGCAGCAACAATCTCAGGCAGGGAACTCAAGAAAGTACCGCAGGGAGGGTACCGCTAGCAATGGACAGGAACTTTGTGATGCACAGAGCCCTATAGCTGGCATCAGGCTGTGGTCAGCATGATGAACCCAGCGGAACCCAGCAGCTGTGGGAGTGTGTACATATATATGCCAAGGGCACCCTGGAGCTGGGCAGTGTCCCACCTGTGCAATCAATGGCCAGGGTATCAAGAAGTGCTCCCTAGAGGAACAGGACTGACACCATGTGGCCTCAGAGGTCAGGATCTCTAGAGAACACCCCCAATCATCCAGGGAGAGCCAGGACCTACTGCAGGATCTGGGCACCCTCTGGATTCTTCCTCATCTGGTCCCTGAGGACTTTCAGGGCATGGTGTCCTGTGGTCTCTCCTAGAACTGCAACCATGTCTGAAAGGATACAAATGGGCACAAATGTGGAAATGTGACCTTAGGAAAGTTATCTGACACAGCCTTTGTTTACTACACGGTAGACTAGGGATAATATCTACTTCTTATATAGCTATAAGGATTCGTGTTAAATGTTTAGCAAATCACCTGGCATAGAACAAGGGCTCAATTTATCTAGTTATTATGCTTCTTTTTTTTTTTTTTTTTTTTTGATATAGGGTGCGTGTACTCACCAGAAAGACAGAAAGAGAGACAGAAAGGGAGAAATCACCCTCACTCCAGGGGGGATGGCTATGCCGCAATCCCTTCTCCATTCTCCTCTCAGGGTCTTGGGCACGCATGCACACATGTGCCAGGCGTGAGTTGAAGCCACCAGGTGCGGGACTTGAACCGCGGTAGACTACGTGGGAGTCCAGTGACATAGCCATTAGGCCAAATGCTGGTCCCTAAAGTTATTATTCTTAATATTATTAACCTACTAGAGTAGACTGGCTCTGGCTAGCCCAGTGCTCTAAAGGGTTCATAAGTCAGTTTTTTGGGGGAGAGGTTTTTGCTATAGGGCATGTGCGCTCACCAGAAAGACAGAAGAGAGAAAGAGACAGAAAGCGAGAAATCACCCCCCAGCGGGGATGGCCACGCCGCAATCCCTTCTCCTCTCAGGATACTGGGCATGCATGTAAACGCACCCGGCGTGAGTTTAAGCCACTGAGTCCGGCACTTGAACTGTGGTCGACTACATTGGAGTCCAGCGACATAGCCATTACACCAACTGCTGGTCCCCATAAGTCAGTTTCATATCCATTATTACTACAGAATATCATGTCTCCATTGATTGCTACAAGCTTTGACATCAAGGAATGCTGGGTATGAGCCGTCCAGTGCAGTGTCCGTCCAGTGACCTTGCACAAATTGCTTCACTTTATTAAGCCTCAGTGGCCTAATTTGTGGAGTGCAGATAACTCCTTTCTCATAGGGTTAATTGAGAAATCAAGAAAATCACGTACATAAAACATTTAGCACACTTACAAAGTGTGTAATGAGCAGTTAGCAACAGTGTTACATTAGAAGTGATAGTATTTCTCAGAACTTGAAGTCCTGATAAGAATACAAAAAGCACGGGAACTAGCAGTTAGCGTAATGGCTATGTCGCTGGACTCCCACGTAGTTGACCTCGGTTCGCGTCCCGCACCTGGTGGCTTAAAACTCACGCCGGGCGCATGAGCGTGCGTGCCCAAGATCCCGAGAAGAGAATGGAGGAGAAGGGATTGCGGTGTGACCATCTCTCCTGGGGGGTGATTTCTTGCTTTCTGTCTCTCTGTCTCTGTCTGGTGAGTGCACAGGCCCTATGGCGAAAATCTCTCAAAAAAAAAAAAAAAACACACAAAAGGCGCTGTAAAATCCTAGGATGTTCTAATAATTTAGCCAGCAAACGTTTATTGAGCATTTCCTATGTGCCAGGTACCATCCAAAACACTGCAGACACAGTGAAACAGGACAGTCTCGGTCCTTGACTTCAAAATTTACCTTCTATGAAATACTGTAATTTCGTGGATGTTTATAAGACGTCTACAGAGTCCACAGGTTCCTAATAGGGCAGGATGGCAGAACCTCTCCAGGGAGTGGTTTCAAAAGACAGCTGTTCACATTCCACGCTCCCCTTCGTGGGACCCCGGTGACTGCGTTTTTATAAGCTCTCCAGGTGATGATTAGATGCAACTAGGTTTGGTTACCCCGGCCTAGTTTATTGTCCTGTTACGCACAGGACACGGAGGCTTTGACAGAAGTCGCGGCGTGCCCAGGTTTCCCAAAGGCAAGGGCGTGCTCCAACTGCTCGCTGCCCTCACCGAGGCAGAGGGCGCAGGAGGCCTTACCGTGGCGATACGGGTTGTAGAGCGCCATGCAGGCAGAGCCGGCGGTTAGCAGCGCCTTCTGCAGTGGGGAGGTGCGGATGTGCTCGGGGTAAAGGCCGACGCCATGGCTCTGCGCACGGAGAGGCACATCTACAGGGTAAGAAAAAGGCCGAGTTCAGAGGAGTCAGGCGCTCCCAGGTTCTCCCGCAGCTTCGGCCTCGAAACGGGCGCCACTTGCCTGCAGCAGGCCAGGGGCGGCTGAGGAGTCGCCAGACCGGGGCCCGGGCGGGGTGCAGCAGAGTCGCCATGGCAGCGGACGTCCGCAGGGAAGTGGGCGGGGTACAGCTGGACGCTCCAAATTTTTCTGGCGACGGAGCGCCGAAGAAGTCAAAATACAGTAGGCCCTTGATCCCGACTGTACTGCCTTTGGCTTTGTGGGGGGAAACAGCGTAGAACGGACAAAGAAACCCACGCGACTCGTCTTCCACCTACTTCTAACCGTACAAAACTCTCCCCATTTCAGCTCACCTTATAAAGGATCTCCAGAAGAGAGGTGCTCTGGCGCTTGAGTGGTGTCACTATTGTTTTTATGAGTAGCGTAACACGTCCTACCCGTGAGGTTCAGCAACGGGCCATATTTCCCCCTCTGCATCACGTTTCCAGCCGAGGACAATAAGGAAAGAACCTCTTCCGGCCGCGGAACATGGCGGCTCCCATTGTAAATGCCACATTTGGGGGCGTGACCATATAGCACTTCCGTCCAGATCCTGGGAACGTCCCACTCCTCAGCTACCCCTGCCGCAGGCTTCGGGTATGGGGTCTGCGGGCCTGGCGCGCTTGCATGGCCTCTTTGCGGTCTATAAGCCGCCGGGGCTAAAATGGAAACACCTGCGGGATACCGTGGAGCTGCAGCTTCTGAAGGGTGAGTGCCATGTTTCCTTATCTGTTCTGGAGATCTAGCTCCACCTCTCATTTCCCTCAAAATAAAGTCGCGAGACCCACATGCCTGGGCAGAGTGCTTTTAATTTTAATTTTAATTTTCTTTTCTTTTTTTTTCTAGGCTCGCCAGAGAGACAGAGAGGGGAAAGTGAGAAAGCACTCCATCCCCCCAGGGGGGAATGTTCATGCCACAATCCTTCCTTCTTTGGGGATTTTGGGCACACACTCAGACCTGGCAGTCAGCCATATGAGATCAGCTGCCTTAACCATGACTTCACCGTCTGGACCCAGAATGTTTTTCTAATCATCTGTTTTGTATACTTTGTTACTCTTCACTTTCTCCTACTTTTGGATGGGAAATAGTATTGTCTGTTGTTATTAAGTTATTGGTTAGGGACCAGCAGGTAGACTGGTGGTTGGGGCACTGGACACTCCCATGTGGCCAACCATGGTTCGAGTCCTGGACCTAATGGCTTGCTTTCTCATTTCCTCTCCCTCTCTCTCTTTCTGTGTCTTTCTCTGGTCAAATTAAAATAAGTGAATAAGTAAATAAGATTAAGTAATTCTTTAAAAAAATAAGTTATTGGTTGATGGGGACCAGCAGTTAGAGTAACGGCTATGTCGCTGAACTCCCATGTAGCTGACCGTGGTTCAAGTCCCAGATCCGGTGGCTTAAACTCACACCGGGCACGTGTGCGTGCGAGCCCAAGATCCCAAGAAGAGAATGGAGGAGAAGGGATTGAGGTGTGGCCATCCCCCCTGGGGGGAGGGGGGCGATTCCTTGCTTTCTATCTCTTTGTCTCTGTCTTTCTGGCGAACGCACGCACCCTGTAGCAAAAACCTCTCCAAAAAAAAAAAAGTTATTGGTTGATAAATAGAGACAAGATTTGAACTCAAGGCTGTTTCTTAATTACCACTGTTCTGTTTTCATCTGTGTCTGGTAGTCTCATCTGTTTTATGCATCACCATACTTGCTTATTCCCTTCCTTGCCAGGTGTTCAAATGGAATTGACGAGATGTTCTTTACCTATGTGTGTGCAGGTCTTAATGCTGGGAAACCTCCTGCCCCTGAACAGCGTGTTCGCTTCTTGCTGAGTTCCAGAGAAGGCAATGAAAAGGAGTTGACCCTTACAGCTACCAGTGTGCCCGCTCTCACCAACCATCCACTAGGTAAGGCAGATGTCAGATCTTAGGAAATCCCTGAGTAAAATCAGTGTTCCAGTGCTCAGACTTCTGTTCCAGACCCTTGTAGGGCTACAGTGGAAATGAAATATTAGACCAGGGAATGGAAACTTTAGTGGGAAAAGTCAGATACTAAGTATTTTAGGCATCACCATGTGGTTTCTGCTGTAAATACAAGATAGTCAGAAAAGTCATGACATGGGACCAGCAGGTGGGGGTCATGGTTAAGGTGCTTAACTCCCAGATGGCTGGCTGCAGTTCAAGTTCTATACCTGGCAGGGTAACTATAACAATTAAAAAAAAAAAAAAGAGAGAGAGAGAGAGAAGTCATGACGCATTTTTGCATAGAAAAATATACCATGACTTTTCCAACAACCCAATATATAACTATGTTATTGTAGAGTGAAACGTTAAGGATAACACCTAAAAGAATGAACTTGGGTTGTGTTCCAATAAAACTTCAGAATATTGGCATTTTGGGATCAGCAGTTGGTGTAATGACTATGTTGCTGGACTCCCATGTAGTCAACTGTGGTTCGAGTCCCGGACCCGGTGGCTTAAACTCACTTTGAGCGTGTTTGCATATGTGCCCAAGATCCCAAGAGGAGAATGGAGGAGAAGGGATTGTGGTGTGGCCATCCCGCTGGGGGGTGATTTCTTGCTTTCTGTCTCTCTGTCCTGGCAAGCGCACGTGCCCTATAGCAAAAAAAAAAAAACCCTCAACAAACAAACAAACAAAAAGTATAATTTGTTTTTTAAATAATATCTTTTTTTAAAGAATTATTTATTTTATTTAGTATTATTTTTTCACATGATTTTTGCCAGAGAGAGAAAGAGATAGAGGAGAAAGCAAGCCACCAGGTCCAGGATTTGAACCACAGTCGGCCATGTGGGAATTCCAGCACCTTAACCACCATGCCATCTGCGAGACCCTAAATAATGTCTTTTTTTTTTTTTTAAGATTTATTTATTTTAGAATTATTCAAATTTATTATTATCATCATTTTAAATTTTACTATAGGGCATGCGTGTCCACCAGAGAAAGAGGGAAAGTGAGAAAGCAAGCCGCTAGGTCTGAGACTTAGACTGAAGTCGGCCATGGAGGAGTCCAGCACCCTAACCAGCACACCACCTGCCCACCCCCTTATTTATTTATTTATTGAGAGAGATTCCTATCATAGGGCACATATGCTCCCTGGAGAGACAGAGAGAGAAAGTGAGAAACCATCCCCTAGGGAGTTGGCCACACTGCGTTCTCTTCCCCTTCATTCTTCTCTCGGGATTTTGGGCATATGTACACATGCACCTGGTGTGAATTTCAAGCCTCTCGGTCCAGGATTCGAACTGTGGTAAGCCATGTAGGGGTCCACCACCTTAACTACCATGCCACCTCCTGCCCCAAAGTATTCTTTTATTTATTTATTTATTTTTAAAGAATTATTTAACTTTATTTATTTTAATTTGACCAGAGAGGGACAGAGTAAGAGAGAGAGTGAGAAAGCAAGCCATCAGGTCCGGGCCTGAACCGCAGTCGGCTATGTGAGAGTCCAGCACCCTTAACCACCGCGCCACCTGCCAGTCCCCCTAAAAAAGTATTTTCTTGGAACCTTTGAAAAATGGAAAAAACTTTTTTTAAGGTAGATTTTTGCTATATAGCATGTGCGCTTGCTAAAAAGAGAGAGGAAGGGAGAAGTCACCCCTCGGGATGGCCATGCTACAACCCCTTCTCCTTCATTCTCTTGGCATTTTGGGCACACATACACATGTGCCTGGCGTTCGGTACTCAAACCATGGTCCGCCCTAGGGGAGTCCAGTGCCTACTCTGCTATGCCACCTGCTGGCTCAACAAAACCATTTTTTTAGGAGGTTTTTTTTTTTACTATAGGGTATGTACGCTTACTGGAGAGACAGAGAGACAGGAAGTGAGAAATCGCCCCCCAGCCCGAGCGGGGATGGCCTCACCGCAGTCCTTTCTCTTCCATTCTTGTCTCAGGATCTTGAGTGTGCACCACATGCACCCAGCATATTTTAAGTCACCAGGACTGGAACCCAAACTGAGAGTCCAGCAACGTAACCATTACGCCATCTGCTGGTCCTGGAAAGACCATTTTTAAGACGTGGGCCATAAAAGCAAAACAAAACAGCTTTGGGATTTGGCCTGTGAACTGTAGTTGACCCTTTCATGATATAGAGGGTCTAGATGGGAATTGACACCCCCAGGTAGAAATCCAAAGGGAGGGGGACGGGCAGAGGAAGGAGTCTTGGTCTTCTGGGAAATAGTGACTTTTTAGTCAAAGCTTCCAGCAGTGGAACTAGTTCTGGTAATGTCCCTGCTATCACTAAATGCAATTAAGGCACGCATATGTCAGAGAGGTTAGAGTAGGACCCAGCGACTTGAGCACAAACTTCTCTTTTTTTTTTTTTTGAGAGGTTTTTGCTATAGATAGGGCAGTGCACTCACCAGAAAGACAGGGAGAAACAGACAGAGGCGAGAAATCACCCCCAAGGGGGATGGCCATGCTACAGTCCCTTCTCCTCCATTCTTCTCTGGGGATCTAGGGTGCACACACGCGCGCGCCTGGCGTGACTCAAGCCACTGGGTCCAGGACTTGAACTGCAGTTGACTACATGGGAGTCCAGCAACATAGTCATGCTAACTGCTGGTCCCGAGCACAAACTTCTTTTTTTTTTTCTTTTTATAGAATCACTTTTTATTTAATTTTATTTACTCATTCATTTATTTTTTAATTTGACCAGAGAGAAACAGAGACAGAAAGAAAGAGAAAGGGAAAGTGAGAAAACGCTGCTGGTCCCGAGGAACACAAACTTGTAAAACTCTTTCAGTGATCTCCCACGGCTCCATAGTAATGACCGTAACATGTATAACATGTCAGGTGTCTATTTCCCCGTGCTGTGTATGGAGGTAGGCTTGCCCAACCACAGTCTCATCGATCTCATTGAATCTCCATCACAGTCCCATGAGACAGCACCTATTCCTGTGCCACAGATGAGAAAATGGAGGCTTCGTGTTGACGGTAGGCAACATAGCCTGGATTCAGTTAGCTCTTAACTGATCACTTAGTTCTTCTTTAAAAGAAAAAAAAGTATTTATTTATTTTGTTTGTTTGTTTGATTGTAAATTTAACTAGAGAGGGACAGAGAGAGAGAGAGAGAGAAAGTGAGAAGCTACCAGGTCTGGGAGTTGAACCATGGTTCGGTCATGTGGGAGTCCAGTGCCCTTAACCACCATGCCACCTGTTGGCCCCCACTTAGTTCTTCTTCTTCTTCTTCTTTTTTTTTTTTTTTTTTTTTTTTTGGGGGTTTTTTTCTCAGGACTTTTTTTTGAGAGGTTTTTGCTATAGGACATGTGCACTCACCAGAAAGACAGAGACAGAGAGACATAAAGTAAAAAATCACCCCCTGGGGGGATGGCCACGCCACAATCCCTTCTCCATTCTCCTCTTGGGATCTTGGGCATGCATGCATATGTGCCCAAGTGAGTTTAAGCCGCCAGGTCCGGGACTTGAACCATGGTTGACTACATGGGAGTCCAGCAACATAGCCATTATGCTAACTGCTGGTCCCTGTTTGTTTCTTTCTAGTACGTGGACCAGCATTTACCAGGCTGAGTATTGGTGTGGGACACAGGCTGGATGCCCAGGCTTCTGGGGTTCTTGGTAGGTACTAGTGTAAGCCTGGGTATGGCATTAAGGGCTTGGGGAAGGATCTGGAAGCTAACAGGATTTCAGCCCACTCTTACTTGATGGTGCTTCCTTTTTTTTCTTCTTTTTAAAGAGAATTTTGCTGTAGGGCGCATGCACTTGCTAGAGAGACAGAAAGTGAGACATCATCCCCCAGGGGAGTTGGCCATGCTGCAATCCCTTCTCCATTCTCCTCTCCGGATCTTGGGCACACACTCGTGCTCAGTGTGAGTTTCAAGCCTCCAGGTCTGTGACTCCAGTCATGGTCAGCCATGTGAGAGTCCAGCAACACAGCCGTTACGCCACCTGCTGGCTCCAGTGCCTATATCCTACTGCCTGTCTCCTCTGATTCCTGCCCTAAGTCTGATTAGCTGGGGAAATGTCTGGTGGGAGGAAGGGAGTCACAGGAGATTAATCTCATTTGACTCCTTCTCTCAGTGACTCCTGCATGTGGCATGTAGTTTGAGGACTTGCATGGACCTTTATATTGTTTTGGGGTAGATGTGTATGTGTTTTAAGGTTTTTACCAGAGGACGCTTGTGCTTAGGGAAAGTGAGAAATCATCCCCGGGGGTATGGCCACACTGTCGTCCTTTCTCCTCCATTCTTCTCCTGGGATTTTGGTCATCCATACACACATGCTGTGTGTTTTCAAGTCACTGGGTCTGGGACTCGAACCACGGTTGGCCACGTGGGAATCCAGCACCTTAACCACCATGGCACCTGCTGGCCTAATAATGTGTGATTTTATGGAGAAGGAAGTACGGCTCCAGTAACTGAGGGTGACTTGTCTTGGGTCAAATCACTAGTGAATGTCTGTGGTCTAGAGATGGAAAACCGTCATCACCATGAGGCAGCCAGGCGCGTGACTCTGGTCCTGCTGGCCAGGGTCTGGATGTCACTGGAGCCGGACACACAAAGGACTGAGTCATGAGCCATCTGTGTCCCCAGGGTCAGGTGGTGGCTCCATCTTCCAGCTGCGACAGTCATGGTCCCCTTATCCTGCTTCCTGTGCTGCAGGCAGGCAGACGTGATCTCATGTCCTCTCTCCCTGTCCTCCCTCTTCAAGAGTGAATGGAGGGCCATTCTCCCCTTCAGCCGGAGGGAGAAACAGCATTTGAAAGGCAGGAGTGACCACAATGGCCTTCGTTCACTGGGCCCTTCCTTTGGGCTGACCACTTCTGTGCATTTCTCCTTTACTCTGCGTAACATCCACAGCACTCATTTTACTGACCAGGGCCTTGAGGTCTCCCTAGGTTAAAGGTTATACTCAGAGCCACACTAGGTTGGAATCCAGGTCTGTGTGGCTGGGTCACCTCTTTTGGGTATATCAGAACCCTTTGGGGAATGAGCTGAGGCTCTCAGGTTTCCTTCCCACCACAAATCACAGTTAGTACCTGTGGGTGCAGCCCGGAACTGTGCGTTTCGACCTACGCCCAGAGGAGCTTGCATGCACTCTGTAGAAGTTCTCACTGCCTTGAGGACTTCAGTAGATCGGAGGAGGGAGTGTTCTGATGGTGCAGATGGTGGCGGGGGTTCCCGAGGGAACAGGAAGAGGATGCCAGATGTGAACTGAGGTTGCTCCCTTTCAGTGCTCGGCGTGGGACGTGGATGCAGGCTCCTCACTGACATGTACGATGCTCATCTCACTAAGGTACGGGGTCTAGGGATACCCCACTTACCCCTTGGTCCTTTCCTGGGGTCACTGCAGGATTCCGAAGCTCACAAGATGCAAGGTAGACAGCCACCAGACCATCAGCAAGTTCTGTTATGGTCAGTGCTAGGGGAGCTGATGCTAAGAGGCTGGCCCCTGCCGGCGGTTCTGCATGCTGGCATGCCGCTAGCAGTGCACACGCTTCCCGACGGCCTCAGCTCCCTGTGAAATGGAGACGGCGGTAACTCCGTGTTACGGATGTGGGAACTGGGCTCACGGGATGTTGCTGGCCTAGAGTCCCATTACCTTAAGGAATTGAGGAGCTGGGGTTTGAAGCAGGATCTGTCTGACACCCCATCATGGAAGCATTCCATTCTCTCCCAAGACTGAGAAGTAGATGTCACTGTCCAGCCTCAAGGGAACTTGCTGTCATGCTGGGGCTATGGGATCTGGTACCACAGAGCATGTGCACAAGTGCCACATTGGGGAGGAGGCACAGTTTATCGTTTTTTTTGAGAATGATTGGTTAATTGATTGGTTGGAGGAGTTTTTGCTATAGGGCATGTGTATTTGCCAGAAAGACAGAGACAGAAGGCAAGAGATCATCCCCCCAGGGTGATGGCCATGCTGCAGTCCGTTCTCCTCCATTCTCTGGGGATCTTGGGCACACACGCACATGCGCCCGGTGTGAGTTAAGCCACAGGGCCTGGAACTCGAACTGCAGTTGAGTACATGGGAGTCCAGCGACATAGCCATTACACCATCTGCTTGTCCCCTAAGAATTATTTATTTTTTATTATTATTTTTAAATTTGCCAGGACCAGCAGTTAGCTTAGTGGCTATGTCGCTGGACTCCCATGTAGTCGACCGTGGTTCAAGTCCCAGACCCAGTGGTTAAATTCAGGCCAGGCGCCTGTGCGTGCATGTCCAAGATCCTGAGAGGAGAAAGGAGGAGAAGGGACTGTGGCATGGCCATCTCCCCTGCGGGGTGATTTCTCACTTTCTGTCTCTTTCTGGCGAGTGCACATGCTCTATAGTAAAAAAACCTCTCAAAACAAACAAACAAACAAACCTCAAAACAAACAAACAAATTTGCCATAGGGCACATGCACTTACTTACCCGATAGAGGGGAAAGTGGGGAAGCAAGCTGCCAGATCTAGGATTTCAACCACGGTCAGCCATGTGGGAGTCCAGCGCCCCAGCCATCACGCCACCTGCTGGCCCTAGGGGGCCATTTTTAATAGTGAAGAGCACAGATTTCTGAGCCAAATGGCTTTACTTTCAAGACTCACTTTTCCCACTCGGCCAGCAGACCTTGGGGGCTTGTTCAGCATGGCTGTATTTGGCTTTTCTCCCCTGTAAAGTAGGGATGGTGGTAGTATCTCCCCTGTGTTACTTTTAAGATTAAATGAATGGGGACCAGCAGCTGGCATAATGGCTATATCGCTGGACTCCCATGTAGTCAACTGCAGTTTGAGTCCTGGACCCGGTGGCTTAAACTCACGCCAGGCGTGTGTACATGTGTGCCCAAGATCCTGAGAGGAGAATGGAGGAGAAGGGATTGCGGCGTGGCCATCCCCTCTAGGGGGTGATTTCGTGCTTTCTGTCTCTCTCTGTCTTTGTGGTGAGCACACATGCCCTATAGCCAAAAAAAAAAAAGAAAGAAAGAAAACCTCTTAAGATTAAACAAATGTGGGCCCAGTGGGTAGGGTAATGGCTATATCACTAGAATCCCATGTAGTTGACCACAGTTCGAGTCCCAGACCCAGTGGCTTAAACTCACACTAGGGGCGTGTGTGTATGCCCAAGATCCCGAGAATGGAGGAGAAGGGACTGCGACGTAGTCATCCCCCCTGAGGGGTGATTTTTTGCTTTCTGTTCTCTGTCTCTGTCTTTCTGGCCAGTGCACATGCCCTATAGTAAAAACCTCTCCAAAAAAAAATAATGCCTGCATGTAAAGCACTTTATGTGGATCCTGGCACTTGGTAACTGCTTGATTCCTTTAAAATAATTAATTAATTAAATTATCATTATTTTCCAATTTGACCAGAGAGAGAAAGTGAGAAAGTAAACCACCAAGTCTGGGACTTGACCTTTGGTCGGCCATGTGGGAGTCCAGCGCCTTTAACCACCACACCACCTGCCAGCCCAGGTAACTGCTAAATTAATGTCACTCTTGCCTGGGCAGAGTCAGCTGCACAGACTTAGGGAAGAGGAGTTTCTTGAGCAGGGAGGGCAGCAGGCATGATCTGGCCTTGAAGGCTCAGTCCTGTTTATAGGACGGAGGGAGCTGACTGGCATCTGGGAGGTGGTCGGAGCCCTAACTTCCCAGGTGAGGCTGTAGCAGAGAGATGCAGAGTCCTGGGGTCCTCGCAGGATGCCTGTCTGTGCCTATTGTAGGCTGCCTGTGCTCATCGTCACGGGAACTCCGCCAGCGATCTTAGAGGGGGCCTGGCACCGTGTCCCACTGAGTCTGGGCAGTAGTATGAGGTCGATCCTGTCACTGTCCCCAGGTCAGAATGGAGAGTGGGTACAAAGAGCTACCCTTTCCCCAAGGGGCAGTGGAGTACTGGGCAGGAGCCGAGCATGCAAGCTCGGCTTCCCCGGAGGGAAGACCTGAGGGCCCCCCGCCCTAAACCTTAGACTGACACTTCTAGGACATGAGCTGTTTGGCCAGGCATCCCTCCTCAGCACCAGGTGACACTGCCCGAACTGTCCTCTCCCTGTCCTCGCAGGATTATACAGTGCATGGCATCCTAGGCAAAGCCACAGACGACTTCCGTGAGGATGGGCGGCTGGTGGAGAAGACCACATACGGTGAGAGCTCGGATGGGCACCCACAACAGCTCCTGCCACCACCCTCCATGTTTGCTTCACCCAGCTCCTTGCACTTAACGGCGCGGGCTGGTCCCTCCTTGCTTACTCTTGACACCAGGCTTGCACTCGGCCTTTAGGCCATCTATCTTCAGGAATGGCCTGAGCTCACCTACTCT